CTGAGGCATGAGGATCGCTGAGCCCCGGAGATTGAGGCTGCTGTGAGCCAGGCTGACGCCACAGCACTCACTCTAGCCTGGGCAACAGAGTGAGACTCTGTCTCAAAAAAAAAAAAAAAAGAATACTTACTATATTGATGGTTAGGCGGCGTCCAAGCCCGATGGAACTTGATTTGCTTAAATGGGTGTATGTTTCTCCCTCATTTTTTTATTTTGAAAATTTCAAACCTACAGATAAATTAAGCCATGCACAACAATGTGCACCTGTAATCCCAGCTACCTGGGAGGCTGAGGTGGGAGGATCCCTGGAGCCCAGGAGTTTGAATCTAGCCTGGGCAACATAGTGAGACCCCATTTCTCAAAAGAAAACAAAAAAAAGAAAAAGAAAGGAAGGAAAGAGAGAAAGAAAAAGGAAGGAGAAGAGAGGAAGAATAAAAGACAGAGAAAAGAAAAGGAAAATTGAAAGGATATGCAATGAACATTGGTGTGGTGTTATGATATATGTATTAGTTTTTGTCCACAGTTCCTGGCTCATAACTCCCACAGTTGCTGTTACAGCCTTTTTTAAAAACGTTGATTGTGGCAGGCCTCAGGAAACAGAATCTCTGACCTTCTCCTCAACTTTCATCCCCTGCAAGGCAGGACCCTAATCCCCCCACTTTCTGTTTGTGGTTCATAAGATCCTCCTTGCAGAGAGGGTCCGCTACCCCATAACCTGAAGGCCAATCACATATACACACAGTTGTCCATAAAACCCACGAGGATTGAGTTCTGAGAGCTTCCAGATAGCTGAGTCGTGAAGGCTCCTGGAGGGTGGTGTGCCCAGGAAAGGCTTGGATGCCTCCTGCCAGCTCCCATCTTGGTCTATGCATCTCTTCATCTGTATTTTTTTTTTTTTTTTTGAGACAAGGTCTCGTTCTGTCACCCTGGATAGAGTGCAGTAGCATCATTCTAGCTCACTGCAACCTCAAACTCCTGGCTCAAGGATCCTCCTGCCTCATCCCCCCAAATAGCCGGGATTACAGGAGAGGAATATCTGTATGTTCCAGGAGAAATCTCCAGCGTCAGAACTTGGGCGCGGGGGCGGGGACTAAGTGGCACTTTGAAGGTTCGTTCCTCAAAGTGTCTACCAATGTGTGACAGATTGTTGGGAAGTGGAGACAGTCCAGTTGACAGGCTGTCCCAAAGGGCAAAAGTGGCACCGTTACCTATACCAGGGCGCAGGGGCAGTGACCACGGGCTGTCACCGAGGGCAGCCCGGCCCTCAGGGGAAGATGGCGGAGAGTCGTGGCAAGTCAGCCAGAGGCGGGCTTGGGTGGCTGCTGAGGCCGCCAGGCGGGGTGAGGTGATCGTGGGAAGAGACCGGCGGCTCAGCAGCCGGCTGGGTCCTATCTCCACTCATCCTGGGCTTGGACTGGGGCTGCCCCAGTCCTGGGGCTGCAGGAAGCACTTGCCCACCGGTGGTGGCAGCTGCAAACCTGGGGCTCCACCGCGTGTGTCCCCAGAGCTGGCTTGCCTATAATTTTGTTGTACCTAATCTAATGCTGATATAATGTTTTATGATACACAGTACATACTAAAATTCTCATTTGTTCCAAAAATATTCTTTTAGTTCATTTTTAGATTTTAAGACCTCAGACCCTGTCTGGGATCACACATTGCATTTCTTTTTTTTTTTTTTTTTGAGACAGTCTCAATCTTTGTCCGGGGTAGAGTAAGTGCTGTGGCACCAGCCTCACTCACAGCAACCTCAAGCTCCTGGGCTCAAGCAATCCTATTGCCTCAGCCTCCCAAGTAGCTGGGACTACAGATATACGCCACCATGCCCGGCTAATTCTTTCTATATATTTTTAGTTGGCCAATTAATTTATTTCTATTTATAGTAGAGACTGGGTCTCGCTCTTGCTCAGGCTGGTTTAGAAGTTCTGACCTTGAGCAATCTGCCCACCTCCGCCTCCCAGAATGCTAGGATTACAGGAGTGAGCCACCACGATGGGCCACACATATTGCATTTCTTTGTTGTGTTCCTTTAGTCTTAAATTTGGGACTGCAAACTAGTACAACCTCTGTGGAAAGCAATATGGAGATACCTCAAAAAGATACAAGTAGAACTACCATTTGATCCAGGAATCCCATTACTGGGCCTCTATCCAAAAGAAAAAAAGACATTCTATAAAAAAGACATCTGCACTAGAATGTTTACAACAGCACAATTCACAATGGCAAAGATGTGGAAACAACCCAAGTGCCCATCAATACGAGTGGATTTTTTTTTTTTTTTTTTTTTGAGACAGAGTCTTGTTCTGTTGTCCAGGCTAGAGTGAGTGCTGTGGCATCAGCCTAGCTCACAGCAACCTCAATCTCCTGGGCTCAAGCTATACTCCTGCCTCAGCCTCCCGAGTAGCTGGGACTACAGGCATGCACCACCATGCCCCGCTAATTTTTTCTATATGTATTAGTTGGCCAATTAATTTCTTTCTATTTATAGTAGAGATGGGGTCTCCCTCTTGCGCAGGCTGGTTTCGAACTCCTGAGCTCGGGCAATCCTCCCATATTGGCCTCCCAGAGTGCTACGATGACAGGTGTGATCCACCATGCCCGGCCTTAATGAGTGGATTAATAAAATGTGGTATATGTATACTATGGAGTTCTACTCAGCCACAAAAAAACGGTGATATAGCACCTCTTGTATTATCCTGGATAGAGCTAGAACCCATTCTACTAAGTGAAGTATCCCAAGGATGGAAAAACAAGCATCACATGTACTCATCATCAAATTGGTATTAACTTAACAATTAAGGGTACATATAGTACTAACATTCATCAGGGGCCCTGCAGATGGGAGAGGGGAGGAGGGGATGGGTATATACACACCTAATGGGTACAGTGCTCACCATCTGGGGGATGGACTTGCTTGAAGCCCTGACTCAGGTAGGGCAAGGGCCACATGAGTAACCTAAACATTTGTACCCCTGTAATATGCTGAAACAAAAAAAAAGATTAACCCTGTATGCCCCCCCCCAAAAAAAAACAAAAAAAATTGCTGGGGCTCTATCCCAATTTCTGATTCAGTATTCTGTTTTATTTCTAATAAGTTTCCAGGTGATGTTGTTCGCTTGGGGACCACACTTTGTTAAGTACTACTTTAAGGAAAACACAGCTAAAAAGATCGATTAACATCCAGTTCTAGTCCTTTTGTCTAGCTCCCTATCATATCACGTTTCATAGTTGTGATTTGGTTTTACAACTTGATTTTTGCAATGTTATGGCTATCTGTCCAAATCCTCCACTAGACTGTAAGCTTCTTGGTGAGAGTGCAATTCTAGCTTGTTTGATGAATAAAACCTGCAGTAGATTTCCAACTGTTTCAAGCACTGTCATAGTGAGCCGGGTGTGGTGGCTCACCCCTATAATCCTAGCACTCTGGGAGGCCTAGTGGGGAGGATTGCTCAAGGTCAGGAGTTTCAAACCAGCCTGACCAAGAGCAAGACACTCGTCTCTAGTAAAAATAGAAAGAAAATAATTGGCCAATTAAAAAATATATAGAAAAAATTAGCCGGGCATGGTGGTGGAGTGTGCCTGTAATCCCAGCTACTCGGGAGGCTGAGGCAGGAGGATTACTCGTGCCCAGGAGTTTGAGGTTGCTGTGAGCTAGGAGATGACGCCATGGCACTCTAGCCCGGGCAACAGAGCAGACTCTGTCTCAAAAAGAAAAAACAAACAAACAAAAAAACCAAGTACAGTCATAGTGGATACTTCTTAGTCCTTAGTCCACCTTATCTATGCTTTAAATGTTAATTCCTACCTGTAAGACCCTTGTGAATATTAAGGGATGTTTATTATTGTTTGTTTTTCTTGCTCAGGATGGTTTCAAACCATCAAACGAGCTCAAACGATGTGCCCTCCTCGGCCTCCCAGAGTACTAGGATTAAAGGCGTGCACCACCACGCCCGGCCTAAAGCATGTTTAAACAGGGAGGTGCAGACAAAGACTGGAGAGCACTCACTTAACTCTCTGCTCCCACCCCAAACACATATACTAATTCTATAAAGATAACGTGACCGATTGAAATCCTAATTCAGATCAAAATACTTTTCTTTGAGACAGAGTCTCGCTAGACTCTGCTAGTTGCCCAGGCTAGAGTGCCATGGCGTTAGCCTAGCTCACAGCAACCTCAAACTCCTGGGCTCAAGCAATCCTCCTGCCTCAGCCTCCCGAGTAGCTGGACTACAGCCTGCACCACCATGTCTGGCTAATTTTTTGTATGTATATTAGTTGGCCAATTAATTTATTTCTACTTTTAGTAGAGATGGGGGTCTCCCTCTTGCTCTGGCTGGTTTCCAACTCTTGACCTTGAGCCATCCTCCCAACCTCGACCTCTCAGAATGCTAGGATTACAGGCACGACCCACCGTGCCCGGCCCAGATCAAAATATTCTTTAAAAATTAATTAAAGCAAGCCCACTACTCTTATTCTAACTCTACAAATCTGGGTCCAGGAACCTGAATTTTTTTTTTGAGACAGAGTCTCACTTTGTTGCCCAGGCTAGAGTGAGTGCCGGGGCATCAGCCTAGCTCACAGCAACCTCCAACTCCTGGGCTCAAGCAATCCTGCTGCCTCAGCCTCCCGAGTAGCTGGGACTACAGGCATGCACCACCATGCCCAGCTAATTTTTTGTATATATTTTTAGTTGGCCAATTAATTTCTTTCCATTTATAGTAGAGACAGGTCTCACTCTTGCTCAGGCTGGTTTCGAACTACTGACCTCGAGCAATCCGCCCGCCTCGGCCTCCCAAAGTGCTGGGATTACAGGCGTGAGCCACCGCGCCCTGCCGGAACCTGAACTTTTTACAAGAGCTTTGCCAGCCACCGCGGCGATCCAGTCGTGGACAAGCCACGACCCTGAGGTTTGAGAACAGCAAATGCTTGGGAATCCCCTGTCCAGTCAATTCTCCCGCCACGTCTTCCCAGGCCTTTCTTTCGGCCCTCTCTCAACTTACCCCGTACAGGTGGATCCACAGCTCAGCCCGAGGCTGCGCAGAACCCACAGAGCTCAGTGGGGCCCAGGACAATGCCCAGGGCCAACCGAAGTGCTCGGTTTTGTGCAGCCGACTCAGCTTGTGCAGTGGGCGGTTCCACCGGAAGTGGGCGGGGAAAGAGCCTGCGCATGCTCAATGACCCTTTTTTTTTTTGGTTTGGTTTCGTTTCGTTTGTGACAGAGTCTCTCTTGTTGCCCAGGGTAGAGTGAGTGCCTTGGCGCCAGCCTAGCTCACAGCAACCTCAAACTCTTGGGCTCAAGCAATCCTCCTGCTTCAGCCTCCCGAGTAGCTAGGACTACAGGTATGTGCCACCATGCCCGGCTAATTTTTTCTTTATATATATTAGTTGGCCAATTAGTTTCTATTTATAGTAGAGACAGGGTCTTGCTCTTGCTGTGGCTGGTCTTGAACTCCTGACCTCGAGCAATCCGCCCCGCCTCGGCCTCCCAGAGTGCTAGGATTACAGGCGTGAGCCACGACGACCCTGGGCCCTCAATGACTCTTTGTAGAGGGGAGCGTGTGAAGGTCAGGCCCCTTGTTGGCTTCTACTGACATTTAATTACCAGTGGCTACCTTTTCAGGTTCTTAGTATTATTTATTTCTATGAGCAGTTTGAGAGTCAAAATGGGGTTGCAAGTTGGTTTTAAATCTTCACCACAATACCGTCCTCCTTCCGGAGAGTAAGGGAATGGAAAACAATGCCGCAACTGCGTAACTTAGCCTGCAGTTGCAAAGTGTAGATGAGGGCTGGCCACCCTTGCTGGGAAAGGAGGAACACCTCTTTGCATCTATTTGCATCTCAATGAGGTGAGTGGGTGGGTCTGCCCCACCCTCTGGGATTATGCCCCAGACCACCAACACTGGTTCCCCAAGATCTTTCCTAGTCAAGTGACATCTAAGGCAGAATTTGAGGAATGAATTCGAATTAGTTGGACAAAATGGAGCGTAAAAGTCTTCAAGGCTGACGGAAGAGCCAAGGAGAAACCTCTTAACTCTAAAGCAAGAACTTAATACAAGAGATTGCAGGAGGTCATTTGGGGAACACTAAAGAGAAGTGAGGAGATGCAAGAAGTAGAAAAGATGAAAAATGGCTTTCGTGAGGTTGATGAAATAGGCAAGAATCAATGCTGCAAGGCCTTTTAGGTAAAATTGAGGATTTGTGTTTTTATCAAGTAGAAAAGAAAGCCAGTGAAGCATTTTAAACATGTTGTAATGAGATTTGAATTTTGAAAGGATGACAGGTTTCAATTCAGGACACAGATCTTTTGATGCCTTTAACGCCATCCTAGAAGGGGTGGATGGTGGGCAGTTAAATTGAGATGTGACCTAGAGAATCAACAAACAGATAAGGAAAAGTCCAGGTTCCTAAACTTATCCCCTGTGTTCTTTTACAGGAGGCTGTCAATTTATCTTTTTTTTTTTTTTTTTTGACAGCAGAGAAACAAGAGAAGAGGCTGTCAATTTAAATACTATAATACACAAATATGAGTCTTGCCCTGTCACCATACATGACATTAAAAATTACTTAAGGCCGGGTGGGTGGCTCATGCCTGTAATCCTAGCACTCTGGGAGGCCGAGGCGGGCGGATCCTTTGAGCTCAGGAGTTCAAGACCAGCCTGAGCAAGAACGATATCCCGTCTCTCTATAAATAGAAAGAAATTAGCTAGACAAATAAAAATATATAGAAAAAATAAGCCGGGCATGGTGGCGCATGCCTGTAGTCCCAGCTACTCGGAAGGCTGAAGCAAGAGGATCACTTGAGCCAGGAGTTTGAGGTTGTTGTGAGCTAGAGGTTGCTGTGAGCTAGGCTGATACTACAACACTCTAGCCCAGGCAGCAGAGTGAGACTCTGTCTCAAAAAAAAAAAAAAATTATTTAAGGTAGGAACCCCATCAATATGGCACTCAATGCTGAAATGCTTACCATACTGGGTAGGGTACAGCATAATTTAACAGATTGGGGCCAGCCTACCTGTCAGATGCAAATTAACCTTAAAGGGTTGTTATGCATTTGATTCTTCTGGATCAATTACTTTTAAGAATTTTCTTTTTTTTCTTTTATTTCTTTTTTTATTTCAAAATATTAAGAGAGTACTTGCAGGTACAACAGGCAAAAAATATTTTTTTAATAAAAAAATATTTTTAAATGTTAAGAGGGTACAAGTTTTCATCACATGGATATCTTACGTAATGCTTAAGTCAGGGCTTTTGGAGTGCCCACCACCAGAATACTGTTCATTGTACCCAGTAAGTAAGAATTTTCAATTTTCTTCCCTGCAAGACAAGTTCAGAAGCAATCTGGTTTTTACTCTTATTCCTCCACTGAAACTTTTACTAATTCATTCGTGATCTAGTTTTTAGCCAAGGAATATGTTTCACGCCTTTTCCTTTCTTAGATGCTTTGTAGCCTTGGTCTCAGGCTGTTCTATCTGTTTGTTTTTATGTTTTCACAGAACTGTGGGATACAGTGTTCCATCTGGTTTTAGCAGATTGTTTTTCTTTTCCTTTTAAAGACCTGCAAGGACACATGACAGACTTTTTATATGTAGTATGAAACATTTATGTTTGTGCATATGTGTGGGCACACATGTGTTTCTGTACTTCTCTGTGTTAAAAACGAGTGGTAGTTAAGGCTTAACTTTAGAACCAGGCTTCAAGGAGTTCTAATCCATGCTCTGTCCTCTTCTGCCTTGTGTGACCTTGACAAGTTATCTTTTTGTGAATCTTTTCTTATCTACCATGTTTCCCCGAAAATAAGACCTATCCATAAAATAAGCACTAGCAGGATTTCTAAGCATTTGCACAACATAAGCCCTACCGGGGAAAATGAGACCTAGTGATGGGTGTGGCTATGCAGCGTTTCTGCACAACCCATGCGTTTCTTCACAGAGCTGTAAAGAAGACGAGCAGCCCTTCTCATCTGCCCCATGAGAGCTCTATTGCTTAACATGAGATATTGGGGCCAATGGTTCTAAAGGAAATAGAGTCGCAAGAAATTCCGGATGGAATTCAGGGTTTGGGGAGTTATGATGATGTTCCAGAAGAAGGTGACTTAACTATATTTGAATAAATGTAGATTGTTGTACCATACTTAAAAAAAATTGTTGTATCGTACTTAAAAAAAATGACACATCCCCTGAAAATAAGCCCTAGGGTGTCTTCTGGAGGGAATATAAATATAAGACCCTGTTTTATTTTCTGGGAAACACGATACTAAAAAAAAAAAAAAAAAAAAAGATGTGGGACAATAATAGAACAAATTACTTCTTAGAGTTGTGAGTACTAAATGAGTTTTCATGAATTTAAACTCCTAGAGCAGTATCTAGTATGGTCAGGGTAGTGTAAAATATGTATAATTTGCCTTTTGTTGATATATAAAAACAGATTATATTATATTTAGATTATAACTTCATCTAAAAAGGGTTTTTTGTTTCCCTCTGAAGGCAGAAGTGAGATTTAGAGGGAGCAGATTTGTGTTCCATTTTGCTGTGTATAATTTGTAAAGATGTTTTTAAAATTTATGTATTTTCTTTGCCAGTTGAGAATAATTTTTGAAAGAGAAAAGGCCAAGCTCTTTTGATGCAATTATTTTTAGAATAGGTTGAAATAATCTGCTTAAAAGAAAAAGGCTTCCAGGGCAGTAAGGGGGAGGAAGGACAGGAGAGAGGAAGAGAGGATAAGAAGGAGGGAGGGAGGGAAAAGAAAAGAAAAAGGAAGAGCTTTTTTTAAATACAATTTAAAGTGGCCAGGTGCAGTGGCTCATGCTTGTAATCCTAGCACTCTGGGTGGCTGAGGCGGGCAGATCGCTCAAGGTCAGGAGTTTGAAACCAGCCTGAGCAAGAGTGAGACCCCATCTCTACTAAAAGTAGAAAGAAATTAATTGGCAAACTAAAAATATATAGAAAAAATTAGCTGGGCATGGTGGCGCATGCCTGTAGTCCCAGCTACTCGGGAGGCTAAGGCAGAAGGATCGCTTGAGCCCAGGAGTTTGAGGTTGCTAGGCTAACGCCATAGCACGGTAGCCCGGGTATCAGAGTGAGACTCTGTCTCAAAAATATATATATATTTAAAGCAAACAAAATATTTTCAAGTTTCCTTGAAAGGAGGAGAGAGAAGGAGAGTTGAGGCAGGAAAGAATCCAAACTTTGTTGAATTAAGTGTGAGTCATATACAAAGAAATAACAGGTCTCTGACTAATGATTCATACATTGATCTGCCTCCCAGAGAAAGCATAAACCTGTAGACCAGAAGACATTTCTCTGTTATTTTTTAGTTGCAGGTCAGGAAACTTTTTTGTGCCATTACAAAATATGTGTTTTTGATAAATAATTTAAAATTCTCTCTTATATCCTAGGGGTTAAACATCAAACGTGGAAGCCACTTGGATTTATATTCCAACTCTACCAGTTTACCAAGCTGTGTGATTGTAGGTTACTTTCTCTTTTAAGTCCCTGTTTCCTTATATAAAAATGGACAAAATAATACTTAATCCCACAGAGTTATGGGGAAACCACTTTGCAGAGACAGAAACCTTTTCTTCTTTTCCCTTCCTGTCTAACAAGTGCTGTGATTACTTTTTTAAACAAAACATCTAAATAATTTTATAAAGAGGCTTCAAACACTCTAAAAACAGAACTCCAAAAATTCCAATATGGAGAATAACAATCATGCACAATCCCATTAGAGGGAAGAGCATCTTAACCAAAAATATCTTGGTTTTCTGTTAAATTGCAAGTTTATCTTCAGAGGTAGCTATAGCAGGAAAAAAGAAAAACAGTAAAAAAAAAATCACAAGTTTAGAACTTTTTCATTTTTCCAAGCTAATATTGTTAAAAGAGTTTACCAAATGCTGAAGAATTAGAAATATTTTTGGTTTTGGTTTACTTATAGCATTTGAATTTTTCATGACATTTATGATTCAGTTTATACAACGCATGTTTAATTAAGTGTAACTGTTTGAGTTGTGAAACACAAAAGCTTTGTTTACATCTCATTGGAAGAGAATAAAGTAGTGGGGAAATCAACATATTAACATATTCTCCCAGGAAATCTTACATTTAAAATAGAAAAACTCAGGCTTGAGTTTTGATCCACATTGGTGGCTTATACCTGTAATCCCAGCACTTTTGGAGGCTGAGGCAGGAATATTGCTTGAGGCCAGGAGTTCAGGTCCAGCCTGGACAACATGGCGAGACCCTATCTCCATTTAGAAAACACTTAAAACTTAGCTGGACATGATGGCAAGCATCTGTTGTCCCAGCCACTCAGGAAGCTGAGGTGGGAGGATCGTTTGAGCCCAGGAATTTGAGGTTGCAGTGAGCTATAATAATGCCATGCACTCTAGCCCAGGCAACAGAGCAAACTTTTGTCTCAAAAAGAAAAACTTAGAAATGGCTACATGCCAAAATATTCCTTTACTGTTATTCTTACTCATTACCAAGTTAAGAACTTTAAAGAATGTTATAAAGCCACATGGCCAAGTGCCACAAAACAGAGTTGATACTAATAAGATATTATGAGAACATTTGCAAAAATAGAGTATTGTAATAATCTTAAAAGTGTATAGGGTCAGGAGATAGTGTAGGTAGTTCTTGTAGATTCTTGGTGTATAATCAGATGGCAGACTTCCATACAGGATTAATAGCACTTTTCTGCAGAGCAATTGACAGAGGCCAGAGCCTGAAATTGTCAACCTAACTACTTCTCTTACAGCTTGGAATCCACTAATATAATTTTATGGTACAATGAGAGCTTAGATATATTATTTTAAAAAGCCAGGGCTGAAATCTGGTGTTCTTTCTTTAAATACTCTGGCCCAGTGGAAACCAAGAATGGAAAATGGGATATAGATCTGGAGTTTGGGGAGTGAAGTCATTTTGGCAAATAAGAATGAAGGGAGGAAAAACCGGCTGGAACTCAGGCACCAATATGCCTGGACAGGCTCTTGTTACTGATGCAATTAATATTACTTTTCTCTTTTGCCTCAAGCTTTCACATGGGTTAACTGATATTCTGTCTTTATGTAAAATTTTGATATTTTATTCATCATACATTTTGGTAGGAGTGTTAATTTTTATTTTATTTCCAAAAACGGCATGAAAAATGTTATCTTGGCTGGGCGCGGTGGCTAATGCCTGTAATCCTAGCACTCTGGGAGGCAGAGGTGGGTGGATCGCTCAAGGTCAGGAGTTCCAGACCAGCCTGAGCAAAGAGGGAGACCCCGTCTCTACTAAAAATAGAAAGAAATTAATTGGCCAACTAAAAATATATAGAAAAAAAATTAGCCAGGCATGGTGGTGCATGCCTGTAGTCCCAGCTACTCAGGAGGCTGAGGCAGAAGAATTGCTTGAGCCCAGGAGTTTGAAGTTGCTGTGAGCTAGGCTGATGCCATGGCACTCTAGCCAGGGTAACAGAGTGAGACTCTGTCTCAAAAAAAAAAAATGTTATCTTGTTCTTTTTTTTTTTGAGACAGACTCTCACTTTATTGCCTGGGTAAGTGTCGTGGCACCAGCCTAACTCACAGCAACCTCCAACTCCTGGGCTCAAGCGATCCTCCTGTCTCAGCCTCCTGAGTAGCTGGGACTACAGGTGCACACCATAACACCTGGCTAATTTTTCTATTTTTAGTAGAGATGGGGTTCTCGTTCTTGATCAGGCTGGTCTTGAACTACTGGTCTCAAGCTATTCTCCAGCCTTGGCCTCCCAGAGTGCTAGGATTATAGGCCTGAGCCACCACACCACCACACCCAACTAAAGATGTTATCTTTTTTTTTTTTTTGAGACAGAGTCTCACTTTGTTGCCCAGGCTAGAGTGAGTGCCATGGCGTCAGCCTAGCTCACACCAACCTCAAGAACTCCTGGGCTCAAGCGATCCTCCTGCCTCAGCCTCCCAAGTAGCTGGGACTACAGGCATGCGCCACCATGCCTGGCTAATTTTTTCTATATATATTAGTTGGCCAATTAATTTCTTTCTATTTTTTTAGTAGAGACGGGGTCTCACTCTTGCTCATGCTGGTTTCGAACTCCTGACCTTGAGCAATCCGCCCGCCTCAGCCTCCCAGAGTGGTAGGATTACAGGTGTGAGCCACAACTCCCAGCCCCCATTAATCATATTGATTAAACTATATAAAATCTCTTTTCCTCTGTGTTCTGAAAATGTTAGGAATTACAAATAACTTTTAATAGAAAAAGAATAAAATGAATACCAAATCATAAAAAACGTTAAGCTTAAAGAACACAGATTTGACACTCCTCTGTTCTCCCCATTCACCTCCCAGTGAATAAAAATATGACGCTATTGTTAAGAATTTATTGTGGTATGCCAGCAAGCATACATGCCACTGGTTTTTTAGTTTTGGTAGAGAGAATCTTGCCCTTGCTATAACAATCTTGAATTAAGTAAAAGATTTATAGTGGTACGATATGTATTAAGGCTGTTCAGTCTTAAATGTCTCAATTAAAAGAAACAAACACTGGAAATATAGACAAGTGTTAGGAACATTTTTACCATGTTATACTCCACCACTGTGAACATTGCTTATACAAAGTAAGAACAACTAGACACTCAAATCACTGAGTGTTTGTTTTATTGAATGATTACTGAAGTTGTATGAGCAGAAATCTATAACCATTTAATTACTTTAGAATGGTAAGGCTGGTTTGTAACTTTTTCAGTGAAAGTGAGAATCTTTACTTGAAAAAGTATAGGTTTGTATTGAATGAGATATATCTAAATGTTTAAACTGTTAGACTTTTTATACAAAATGTACAAATGAGCACATGTATTAAACATAAATATAAGCAATAAGAACTTATGTTTCTACTCAGATGCATTTGTAGACAGGAATTATAATTTATCCAAAACCTATTTAGAATTTCCCCAATAATATCTCATTTAAATAGTGAGGTATGACATTTCCTAAAACATCTTTTGTTTGTGTATAATTTTAATTAGTGTCTTATATAAATAAGCACCTTCTATCCCAAAACACACTTTTTTTTATTTCTTTTTTTTATTTCAGCATATTACAGGGGTATAAACGTTTAAGTTATGTGTGTTGCCTTCCCCCCCTTCTCCTCTGGAGTCAGAGCTTCAAGAATGTCCATCCCCCAGATACTGCACACCACATCCATTAGGTGTATATATACCCCTACCCTACTCCCCCCTACCGTCTGCCCGACGCCCGATAAATGTTATTCCTATATGTGCACTTAGGTGTTGATCAGTGAAACCAATTTGCTGGTGAGTATATGTGGTGCTTATTTTTTCATTCTTTTCATTCTTGGGATAGTTCACTTAGTAGAATGGGTTCCAGCTCTATCCAGGAAAATGCAAGAGGTGCTATATCACCATTGTTTCTTATACCTGAATAGTACTCCATGGTATACTTATACCGCATTTTATTAATCCACTCATGTATTGGGTTGTTTCCACATCTTTGCAATTGTGAATTGTGTTGCTATAAACATTTGAGTGCAGATGTCTCCAAAAGACACTTGTAATAAGCTTCAGGCTGGGTGTGGTGGCTCACGCCTGTAATCCTAGCACTCGGGGAGGCTGAGGTGGACAGAGCTTTTCAGCTCAGGAGTTAGAGACCAGCCTGAGCAAGAGCGAGAACCCGTCTCTACTAAAAATAGAAAGAAATTAATTGGCCAACTAAAAGTATATAGAAAAAATTAGCCAGGCATGGTGGCACATGCCTGTAGTCCTAGCTACTCTGGAGGCTGAGGCAGGAGGATCACTTGAGCCCAGGAATTTGAGGTTGCTGTGAGCTAAGCTGATGCCACAGCACTCTAGTCGGGCAGAGTGAGACTCTGTCTCAAAAAAAAAAATAAAAATGCTTCTGCCCGGGGGCAATGGCTCATGCCTGTAATCCTAGCATTCTAGGAGGCTGAGACTGGAGGATCGCTCAAGGTCAGGAGTTGGAGACCAGCCTGGACAAGAGCGAGACCCCGCCTCTACTCTAAAAATAGAAAGAAATTAATTGGCCAACTAAAAATTAGCCGGGCATGGTGGTGCGTGCCTGTAGTCCCAGCTACTTGGGAGGCTGAGGCAGCAGGATTGCTTGAGCCCAGGAGTTTGAGGTTGCCGTGAGCTGGGCTGACGCCATGGCATTCTAGCCAGGGCAACAAAATGAGACTCTATCTCAAAAAAAAAAAAAGCATATCTAACAACTTGGGAACACCTATTTATCAACACAAGTCAGATTTAAACAGGACAGTTTCCTTTTTGGGTAATCATAGCCCTAAATTTCTTCTGATTTTTTTTTTTTTTTAACATCTCAGCCTCACAGCATGAATAGCACCAAAACAAAGCCTGTCAGAATGATAAGTAGTCATCTTTTAGATACAGATTTTACCCAATGTGTGGTACTTCATGGGCATAACTATATTTCAGATGTTAACTTGAAGTAGGTCTTTTTAAGGAACTATATATACAACATAAACAAGGACATAAGAGAACTTCAAAGAAAAGCAAACATTGGCTTGTTATAATTACATGAGAAAAAGATTCAAAAATGAATGTTTCCATTGCAAAATAAAACGAACTACAGTTAGAATGTTATGCTTTCTTTTACAACTTCAAATGGATATTTCTCATGAAATAAAAAATCATACTTTCATAAACATTAAAGCCTATCATATAAAATTGGTAGCAATTAATAGCTTCTTTCTTAATCTTACTATATAAATAATCAGTGAACCAATTATTCTCTCCCTACTGTGCAAAGCCAAATGGTCAAAGCAATTGATTTCAGATTTTGCCTTTTTTTTAAAAAAAATCTCTCAAATATATACAAAGTTAATACTTTTGGAGAATTATAGAAGTATGAAAGAAAAATTTTAAATTCTTGCACTTTTTACAGTTAGAGAGTTCTAAGACATTGAAAGGCATTTTTCTTTTTAACCTATGAAAGAAAAATAATGTATAGAAAAAGATGAAATATTTTTGTTATGCAGGCAATAATTATGCTTCATACTGGAATCATTTTGAATTTGTGTTATTTTTCTTCTTAAGAGAAGCCAAGAAGCAGAAAATCCTTTGAAACTAATAAATCATCTCAGGTGCTTTCAAACAATTCCTTTTTGTACAGGAACTTCTAAGCAATCACGCTATTGCCATAATGAAGTTCTTTTGCGTAGTTGGGTATCTTTCCTTCACTTCTTTTTCTGGTAGACTGGATAAAGTTAGATAGAGAGATCTGTATTAGGGAGGCAAGGGAGAAACAAACACATCATAAAAAATACTATCTAGTAGATCAGTTTAGCCATGATTAATAGACATTGAGACATTTAAATAGACAATGAGCTATGAAAATTTACCAGTGTTTTTCAGTGCTGAAAGCAACTTGATACATTCTTACATTTCAATATAAATACAGCACCTGTTTTTTCAGAACTCTGAATTTAAGCTGTTAAAGAGACTTTTACATTAAATTATTTTTTACCTAATAATCTTTATTTGCTTAGTAACCCACATTAGTAATCTCAACTACTTCTCATAATATTTTGGATTTTGATTTTTGATATCTGTGCCAGCTAAGAAAGTTATTTAAAGCAGGCCAACAAAAAGATATCAGAACCAAAGTATTAATTTTAAGTATTTTATTAAATTGATAAAATTGTCCCTAGATAGATTTTAATGCTGTTAGACTATTTAATAGTGTTTAGCAGTAAGTTTTTTTTTTTTTCCTGAGATGGGGTCTCACTCTGTCACCTAGGCTGAAGTGCAGTGGCAAGATCATACCTCGCTACAGCTTTGAACTCCTGGGCTCAAGTGATCCTCCCGCCTCAGCCTCCAAAATTACTGGGATTATAGGCGCTAGCCACTGTGCCTGGCAACAGTAAATTTCAAATATATGCTAATGGCAAAATATAACTACCTATTTTTCATTTAAGAGTAAAAGGGATATTTTATAGGAGAAAAATTACTGGTGCCAAGGTTTCCCTAGGTAGTTCGTTTTGGCCCCCTCCTGAAGACATGAAGGCACCCCTTGCTTCATTTCTGGAAGCTTCCACCTCCTTCATATTTTACTTTCCTGACAGTTATGGTAGGGTAGGGTGTTAACTATGACTAATTTTGCAATAAGAAAATATAGGTATGCCTTCTCTGGCATCATCTTTCCCAACTCAGACTACGTAAATTTTGAAAAAATCACCCGGGCACGGTGGCTCAGGCATGTAATCCTAGATCTCTGGGAGGCAGAGGTGGGCGGATTGCTCAAGGTCAGGAGTTCGAAACCAGCCTGAGCAAGAGCGAGACCCTGTCTCTACTATAAATACAAAGAAATTAATTGGCCAACTAATATATATATATGTATAGAGAGAGAGAGAGAAAATTAGCCGGGCATGGTGGCACATGCCTGTTGTCCCAGCTATTCGGGAGGCTAAGGCAGAAGGATCGCTTGAGCCCAGGAGTTTGCGGTTGCTGAAAGCTAGGCTGACGCCATAGCCCGGATATCACAGTGAGACTGTCTCAAAAAAAAAAAAAAAAAAATATGGGGCTGGGTGTGATGGTGCACTCCCATAATCCTAGTTACTTGGGAGGCTCAGGCGAGAGGATCATTTGAACCCAGGAGTTTGAGAACAGCCTGGACAACACACTAAAAACTATATATATGTAAAAAAATAATAAATTTTAAATAATGACTTTTTTTCTGTTGCTGTTTATCAGACCGGCAAAAACTAAAAATGTTGATCATACCCAGTGTGGGGAATAGGCATTCTCATGACTTGCTATTGGCAATGTACAGTGGTCTAACTTTTCTAGGGAGCAGTTTGTTACTATGTATCAATATTTAAAATATTTATAATGGGGCCAGGCGCGGTGGCTCATGCCCGTAATCCTAGCTCTCTGGGAGGCTGAGGCGGGTGGATTGCTTCAGGTCAGGAGTTCAAAACCAGCCTGAGCAAGAGCGAGACCCCGTCTCTATTATAAATGAAAAGAAATTAATTGGCCAACTAATATATATAGAAAAAATTAGCCGGGCATAGTGGCGCATGCCTGTAGTCCCAGCTACTTGGGAGGCTGAGGGAGGAGGATCGCTTGAGCCCAGAAGTATGAGGTTGCTGTGAGGTAGGCTGATGCCATGGCACTCGCTCTAGCTTGGGCAACAAGGCGAGACTCTGTGTCAAAAAAAAAAAAGAAAATTATAACGGGGGATTAAGAATGGTCATAGGCCGGGCGCTGTGGCTCACGCCTGTAATCCTAGCTCTTGGGAGGCCGAGGCGGGCGGATTACTCAAGGTCAGGAGTTCAAAACCAGCCTGAGCAAGAGCGAGACCCCGTCTCTAAAAAAAAAAAAAAAGAATGGTCATATGAGGACTTCTGTGGACACTCTTCTCAGTGAACAGATATAACTGGTAAAAAATCACAAAAAAACCCTGAAGTTTTTCTTAGTACAACTTCCAATTGTATTAATACTAAGGGCATAGGCCGGGCTCGGTGGCTCAGGCCTGTAATCCTAGCACTCTGGGAGGCCAAGGCTGGAGGATTGCTTGAGGTCAGGAGTTTGAGACCAGCCTGAGCAAGAGCAAGACCCCGTCTCGACTAAAAATAGAAAAAATTAGCCAAACAACTAAAAATGTTGCTATTAGAGAAAAATATGAAGAATATATAAGTATAAAGTTGAACTAAGCTCTAACACAATTTCAATATAAATGGAACGTGATACCTAAAGAACTCCAAAATCCCTCACCCACCTACTCCCTCCCCCTAAAGTTACTTTGGCCACTGTAATTAAAGAATTTATATGTGGTACAAACATACTCTTACACACACAAGTGAAGTAACATTTGATAAAAGTTGTGATGAAGTAGGAATAGACTAATAGGTGAAGAGAGGGAAAGAACATTTTAGGCAGAGAAAACAGTGTGTCAAAGTCCTTGAAGTGGCAAGAAACATGACAAATTTGACAAACTCACAGGTAGCCACAGTGAGTCAGATAGGGTTGGAGAGATACAGAAGCCCTTGATCGTTCACAGTTTTGTAGTTTATGTTAAAATTTTTATTTTAATCCTAACAGTAATGAGAAATCACTAAAGGATCTCTTTTTTTTTTCTTTTTTTTGAGACAGAGTCTCACTTTGTTGCCCAGGCTAGAGTGAGCGCCGTGGTGTCAGCCTAGCTCACAGCAACCTCAAACTCCTGGCTCAAGCAATCCTCCTGCCTCAGCCTCCCAAGTAGCTGGGACTACAGGCATGCGCCACCATGCCCGGCTAAGTTTTTCTATATGTATTAGTTGGCCAACTAATTTCTTTCTATTTATAGTAGAGACAGGGTCTTGCTCTTGCTCAGGCTGGTTTCAAACTCCTGAGCTTGAGCAATCCTCCCACCTCGGCCTCCTAGAGTGGTAGGATTACAGGCGTGAGCCACTGTGCCCGGCCTCACTAAAGGATATTATGTAGTATGAAGGTTTAATTTGAAGAATGGATAAAAGAGAAGCATAACTAGATGTGAGGAGATTGCTGTAAGGTAAACAGTCGTTGAGCTTGGGTGATGTAAACTGATAATAAGTTTGAAGCTAAGAGACCGACTATATAAATGTATATTATGTATATAAATGACTATATAAATATATATATTATGTCATTTATATACATAATATATATATTATGTATATAAATGACTATATAAATCTATAATAGTCAGACCATATATTGAAACTCTGACCCACACACTCTGCAGCAACCAGTCCAAAAAGCTAAATCACAGCCTCTGCAGCAACTGGTCCCAAATAGTAAAGATTTGTTCAATACCTGCCAGCTTCCCTACGTTTTACCTTTCCTCTCCTGGTTCCAATTCAGGAGAAATTGGAACCAGAGAAAGCTACATATACTTCCAAAACCAATTAAATAAGAAGTCCTACTCCTAGATAGCCTGGCTTCAACTTTCTCATGCCAACAATCTGCAATAAGATCATGCCTAAAGCCTTCCCTTTTTCCCCACAATGAAGCCCTTGCCTGTCTTCAGTCCTCTGCCAAAGGCAAGTCATGGTGGCTGACTCCCTTGCTATATAAATTGGAAATACCCTGGCTTGATCTCAGTTGAGTGGTCTTTTCCTCCCCAGAGTATTATCATTAAGTGTAAAGAGGCAGGTAAGCCTAAAGGAATAGGTGAAACAGAGTGGGAGAGTGTAGAGATAAACTCTACCTCATAAGGTAGAATAAGCCTGCCCAGAAACCAGAAGGTCAGCTGAGAACTTAGTGGAAATGGGTAGGTATGTTGCCCTGGAATTTAAGGAATAGGATTTTCACAGACTGAGCAGCCAGTTGCTAAATTTTGCTATGAATTCAGGGGGAAAACTAAAAAATGTCCATTAATTTTGAAAGATGAAGACAATTAATGGCCATTTTAAAGGCATTGTAAGACAGATTAAAGTGGGTTGAAATGTGAATGCAAAATAATGAATTGGAGATGAGGAGTACAGCAAAATCATGAGAGTTGTGACTGAGAGGTATGTGGGTGGGAGTGTGCATGTTTGTTGTTTGTTTTAGTGTATAGGCTTGTCAGCATTTAAATCTCCATGTTGACATGATGGTCCAGAGAGGGAAGGGAATGAAGAAAAGTGTAAGTGGCAGCTTGAGATTCCTGAAAACGTGAGAGAGGAGGGGATCCACAGCACAGATGGAGACTTAGGATTCCTTCAGAACAATGACATGAAGAGAGAGGACCAATGAAACCAGCAATACTGGCAGCAATTATGGAAACAATGTATTATAGACTCTTATCATCGGGAGAAAGAAGACTAGAGAGGAGCAGTGGATCTGGAGAAGGGAGGTCAATACTCTGGAAGGACTGTGGGGCTCTGAACAGTGGGAGGGGCTGACAAGCTCCAGGCGTGACTAGGGGTGTGCATGGGTGGGACCAAGGTGGGGAAGATCTTGGGAAAGCCTTTGTATTCTGCCTCTTTTCTTTGCTAATGAAGTTTTAAGAAAGTGGAAGATATGTGGTTTGCATTATCTTATTTACAAATATTTATAAATATTCTGAGTGGTAACAGATAAACTAGCAAGGATTTTAATTATAAAGTGGCAATATTCTGAGGGGTTGTAAATGCACTAATGTGAATTTAAAGTGTTTTTGGTGATGATTGCTTATAATTTTATTAAAATCAGGAAGTTAGATTCATCTATAAATTTTGATGTTATTGACAGTGTTGAAAGAATTGTGGCATTCGATACCACACAATACTTTTAAAAAAGTACATCCAACAGCAAAATGTATTAAAATAGTTAATAAGTGATTTTGGTGTTCTCAAGTCACCTAAAAGCAATACTTATTCTCTTGCTGTTGTATAAGAATAATATATTTTCTATTATATTGCTGTCATGTAATAATAAAGTTTACCTGATTTCAACAGGTCACTAATTAAAAACTTGACTAAGAACAAACTAAGAACAAAGATTTGTACTAAAAAGAAAATTTTTTTTTTTGAGAAAGAGTCTCACTTTGTTGCTCAGGCTAGAGTGAGTGCCATGGCGTCAGCCTAGCTCACAGCAACCTCAAACTCCCGGGCTCCAGCAATCCTGCTGCCTCAGCCTCCCGAGCAGCTGGGACTACAGACATGTGCCACCATGCCTGGCTAATTTTTTCTATATATATATTAGTTGGCCAATTAATTTCTTTCTATTATATAGTAGAGACAGAGTCTTGGCCTTGCTCAGGCTGGTTTTGAACTCCCAACCTCGAGCAATCCTCCAGCCTCGCCCTCCCAGAGTGCTAGGATTACAGGCTTGAGCCACTGCGCCCGGCCTAGAAAGAAATTTTAACATTCCTGAACAACATGATAGCAGCTACTTTAAGCATTTACAGAAATAATTGTTACATACTTTATACAAAGAAATCAGTTTCTAAAATGAAGAAAACTGTGAAGTTAGGCCATTGTATACATATTTTGTATAGGAGACTATACAATTATTATGTGTTTATAATAGTATAAACATCACTATATATTTTAAGTTAATATACTAAATAGATAAGTGTATATATAAATATATATATCATTAAGGCATTCTAATCTTTACAAAAAAGTTTTATTTCATCAGTAAACTAGAGATATTAGGAATTTTCTCCAAGCATGATCTTTGGACACTGGACTATGATTAGCTGAGAAAACAGTAATTTTCTATATTTTAATACAATATGTCCTACATATATTGTAGTCTGCACAGGAATCCCTTGTACTTAAGGCAGCTCTCAGGCCATTCACATTAAGCAAAGGTTTGTTAGGGGCCAAGTCTTGTCTTCAAGCAGCTCGCATTCCAATACTGACAAAAATCTTTTTTCTTTTTCCTTTTCTTTTTTTTTGGAGACAGGGTTTTGCTTTGTTGCCTGGGATAGAGTGCAGTGGCTTCATCATGGCTCACTAGAACCTCAACTTCGTGTGCTCAAGAGGTCCTCCTGCCTCAGCCTTCTGAGTAGCTGGGATTACAGGCCCAAGCCACAAAGCCCAGCTAATTTTTCCTAAATTGCTCAACTGGTCTCAAACTCCTGGCCTCAAGCCATTCTCCTGGCAACCCTCCCTCAGTGCCAGGATTACAGGTGTGGGCTACCATGTGAGGCCCCAATACTGATAAAAATCTAAAGAAATGTAGAAACCTGAAGTAGAACGTGATAAATGGCTCTAAAAACCTACTAATAAAAAAGTGCTGTGACTGTTTGGAGTAAGGAGATTATTTTAAACTAATTGACTCTCGGTGGGCCTCATAAACAAAAAGGAATCGAAAGAGAACCCCAGGGCAGGGGGAGGGTTCAGACTGGTTAAAATGAGGGAAGGAATTCCTAGGAAACATCTCCAGCACAGAGACAGGAAATCATAGTTGGGTTTGAAAGTTAATACTAGGACTGTCAAATCTTACATGCTAAGATAATAAGTAAAAATTTCATTTCATTTCTTTTAGCAACATTTACGAAGTGCCTGTGTTCCGGGCACTTTTCTTGGCTAAAGATACAAAGATAAAAATAAAACCCACCCTCTGCCTTCAGGGAATTTACAGCAAGCAGAGGGAGGAGGGGAAGAGTACAGTCAATTAACATATGGTGAATCATGCTCCCTTAGGCAGCACATGTTATTATGCAGCGAGTCAGGTACTTATGCAAATCACGTTGAGAGCAAAAGTGAGCATATCTAACAGATTAACTAGGGATATCAAAATCAGGGAAGGTTTCCAGGAGGATGAATGATAATAAGGAAAACAGTGGAAAAAAGGACATTGCAGGCAAAAGTATAGCTTGAAGAACAGCAAGAGGTGAAGAATGGACTGACTTTAAAGTAATAGTAATAATAACTTCAGCTACTATTTATTTAGCACTTACTATGTGCCAAGTAGTTATGATAGGTGAAATACCATGGCTAGTTCCATTATATAGATCTGGAAATGGAGGGAAGCTTAGAGAGGGTAGGTGACTTACCAATGATCACCAGAGAGTTAGCTATGTGGCCAAAGCTCGAATGCAGTTGGTCCAAACACAGTCTTAATTCTTATCCCTCTGGGAGAGGGAAAGGGGAAAGAAAGAGGGGTCAGATGAGACTGGAGACGTACATTTTATAAGATGCTGTTTGTCAAATTATGTGAGTTCTCACTGTCCTGAAGGCTATGGGGACAGTTAAGGATTCTAATCAAAGTGTGACATAATTGGTGACATAATTGAATTTACAATTTAGAAAGATCAGATGGTAAAAGGAAAAAAAAAAAAAGATATTCCAGAGCCAAAACTGGAGGCTAGAGTGAGCAATTAAGATTTCGAAGTCATACTACTGAAGAGATACAACAGGCTGGGCACAATGGATCACTCCTATAATCCCAGCACTTTAGGAGGCCAAGGTGGGGGGGTTGCTTGAGGCCAGGAGTTTGAGACCACCCTGGGCAACATAGTGAGACAATGTTTCTGTTGAAAAAAAAAAAAATAGCTGGGCATAGTGGTGGCACCTGTAGTCTCAGCTATTTAGGAGGCTGAGGTGGGGGGATTGCTTAAGCCTAAGAATATGAGGTTATAGTGAGCTATAATAATGCCACTGCATTCGAATCTGGGCTTCTTCCTCTTCCTTCTTCTTCCTTCCTTCCTTCCTTCCTTCCTTCCTTCCTTCCTTCTCCTTCTCTTCTCTTCTCTTCTCTCTCTTCTCTTCTCTTCTCTTCTCTTCTCTTCTCTCTCTTCTTTCTCTTCTCTTCTCTTTTCCTTTCTCACTTTGTTGCCCAGGCTAGAGTGAGTGCCAGAGCAACCTCAATCTCCTGGGCTGAACCTCATCTCCTGGGCTGAACTCAATCCCTGGCGATCCTCCTGCCTTAGCCTCCCGAGTAGCTGGGACTACAGGTATGTGGCCACCATGCCAGCTAATTTTTTGTATATATATTGGTTAGTTGGTCAATTAATTTCTATTTTGGTAGAGATGGTGTCTTGCTCTGCTCAGGCTGGTTTCAAACTCCTTGACCTTGAGGATCTTCCCTCCTTGGCCTCTCAGAGTGCTAGGATTACAGGGGAGCCCGTCCTTCCCATCTATTTTCAATACATGGCTCCCTATTTTCTTTCTCAGAAAAGTCCTCATGACTTCCTTCTGGTGAATCCCATGAACACATT